CTCCGATGGCAGCGGGGAAGCCTTGGAAGACCTCCCGGGGTCCCCCACCACCATCAGAGACCTCCTGGAGGTCCCTTTTCCTAACTGTTGGGGTGAGAGAGCAACCTCTTTGCCACCAACAGTTTAAATGGAACGAAAAAAAGGCAGGGGAAATATGAATTTCCCATCCTTTTCCCCTGCCTTTTTTCATTCATAGGTTGAGGCTCCACTCGCAAGTCAATGCAAATTTTTGCGAACTGAGCCGTTCGTAGGTCCAAATGTTTGTAGGTAGGGATGTTCATAAGTCAAGGTTCCATTGTATACTGTATATGTTTTGCCTTTAGAAGAAAGAAGTATTAACTTTCTTAGAAGAAAGAAGTCTGTCACAATCTTACTCATACTGGATTTTCAGTGCCCTCCTACTAGTGGAGAAGTTTGCAACAAACCTCTCTTGTCAGCTAGTGACCACTTCGTTGGGCTGGTGAACTGACCCAGCTTAAAAGGCAAGGACTGAACTAGGTTAATCCAGAAATATCACTAAATCAGTGATATTAAAATATTAATATCCTGACTGTTTTGTATTGGGGATTTAAAACTATTATCAATAATAGTTTACAACGCAGAAAAACAAGGAAAACTGCAGCAACAGATTTTTAAGTCATGCTGTATACAACCCAAAGAAGGGACTAAGAGGCCTAATGTCTGTTGAGAGAAAAATGCTGCAGCACTAATTAACAGAGGAGCAGCTTACTGGGGAAGGAAATTTCTACCAGCTGAGAGTGTTGGTGGTAAAGCCTCTGCTGATGGTTGGATGCAGGACTCACAAGATGACAGAAATTGGTTCATATGAGAGGAAAGTCTTTTAACTGTCCTGTTATCAAGGTATTCAGGTCAACAACTAGCACTTTCAATTCCCTGTTTACAGGCCCAGTGAATTTTTATACTTAGTCATATGCTCCAAACAGCTCAAGCCAGCACTTTCTGTGTTGTGTTTCGCTTCAGCTGAAGACTTCACAGTCATTCATATAGATATGGTATTACAATAAGCTAACTTTGTGTCTGCAAAGTAGTTTGTGCTGTTTGTTGGTGTGTCTGTATTTCCAGCACTTTGATACAGGACAAGCTACAAGACACCCTTTGTTTAGTCTTCACAGATAATCCAGCTATCATGACATGCTTTTCAAGTAACTCATATCCTGGATTCACAGGAACCCAAGTTTATGTGTTTATGGAAATGGATCAGCTGCTTTTCATGTGTGTGTTTTTTTAACATGATTTGGTTGTGGCCAAATGTATGTGAAGCCAACACGTAAACAAGAGTCCAGTCAACTCCAGTTTTCAGTTCAGTACATTTACCAGTGAATCTACTTTATAATAGTTCAAAACTACCTGGTTGCTTTTAAAATCAAGGAAACCATTAGTCCAGAACTAATGGTTTCCTTGATTTTAAAAGTAAACTGGGCTGCGGATACAGATTCCCTCCCCCACGCACGGCATGCCCACCCACACGCATGGGTGTCCTGCACACCCGCCTGTGCGTACACGTGTATCCTGCCCATCTGCACAAGCACACCCCACCCACCCATGAGTGCAGGGGGTGCCCTGCCCCCACACGCATAGACCCCGCTCCCCCACCCAGTCTGTGGTTCGGAAAAGCTTGGGAGCCACTGCATTAGACAATCAAACTGAGGGTGCTTCTGGAAACAACTCCCCACTATTAGCTTTCTGTAGCTTTTATGACATACGGTAGCTCTTTGGCTGTTCTTGTCAGCTAGGCTATATGTTGGTGGTAGTATCCTGTAGTATCTACATGTCCTTTGTCCAAAACCGTTTCTGAAATGTTGGCGGTACAAGTAGTAGAATGATCATGTAAACAACACTTCTGGCCTCTACTCCTGCCTGTTGACTCTGGAAATACTCCCAAACTGGAGGGAGCATGCATTTCCAATGGAAAAAGTTCAAATCACTATTGGTTCATCAGCAGTCCTGCACAGGAATACTTCTGTCTTGTTTGGACTGACTGTGAATTCGCTGGCACATCATCTCATCTATCAATGATCTCAGGTACTTGTTAAAGAGTTCCAGGTTCACCCTGAAATATGGTGGCAAGGAGAGAGAGAAGAATAGCCCATCCAGGAGACAGTAAATCCCAAATCAGGAGCACCAAGTGAAGATGTCTGTCCTACTTAGGAAAAGAAGATTGTGGCCTGCAAAAACAACACAAGCCAATGTTGCCCAGGGTTGGCTTTCAACGTCTAGAAGGGCACACATTTCTCTTCCCTGAAGTAAAGATTTCCTAGGAACTAATTCACATCCTCCTGCCTAGGAATGATATATGAAGATGCAAGCACACCTTTCTATGTCCTGGGCATACATGGTTGCATTTGTGTTTCCCATGTATTTAGTTGGTAGGGTTCTTTCCTGCTCCCAACACAGGGCAAAGAAAGGACATACAGATTAGGTCAATCTCCAAGTTAAATAAATACATGTATATGCTAGAAGGATAGTTCTAAGTATAGACTTTTGATCTTCAAATACTGGTGGAAGACAACTCCAGCCAATATGGTCAATAGGCAAGGATTCTTGGAAGATGTAATCCAACAACACCTGAGAGCCCAGATTTGGCAACCACTGTCCTTGGAACCTGCAAGCCCACTTCTTCCCCTTTTGGCAATGGGCATTTGAATCGGCAATTGAAGCAAGACATTTGACTCAAGGGATGTGCTTTTTCTTGCTATAAACATTAACTAATGAGCAATTGTACCAGCGCTTGAGATATTTAGAAAAACTTCCATCTCTTTATTACTTGAAAAAAAGCTGTGTGTTGCATCACGATTGGCCTCATTTTGCCTCCAGGAAGACAGCACAAGAGGCAGAACTTGTTTGGTAAAAGAGTCATGGTATATAAATAGAAATACTACCCTCCAAGAGTTAACCTGTACAATTCTGTTTCCATTCCAAGAATTATAAACATCGGCAAACAGTTGCATTCTTAGTGAAAAAAATAAATGTTTATGAATTAGTAGGGAAGAAGTAAATTGGTAGTACGCAGCACACTGTGCGAGAAGATTGACCACTTATGTGTGTTGTCTTGTTTTCTTCATTACTGCATCCTAATTTAGAAAGCAAGGTCATGGAGGAAAATGGATTGTTATGAATTGAGATGCTGCCTTGCCATGATAACATCTACTTAAACTTGCTGCTGAAGATGACATCCCTCTGACAAATGCCCCTCCATGATGTTTTGCTGTACTTCCATGTCATGTGGTATCCTCACAATGTGCATTTCCCCGTTATACCCGAAATGTCTCTGTAATTAGGACAAACCATATGGAGAGTGTAGCTTATGGAGAGTGTAGCTAGGGAAATCACATCTTTGCTGCCTTCTGTAGGTTTTCTGCCTTCCCAAGGAATAACGCCCAACATGCAGTCCTGTAGATGACCTTATCACTTGGTCAGGTCTGCTTTCAGGATAAGAA